TCAAGCACAGGACTGGCTGAATTCCACAGTCGGTCAGAGCCCCGTCTCCCCACAGGGGCCTTCCCGGCGGGCAGCAGAGATGGACACGTTCCCACGGGAACGGCCCTCCACTCCCGGCCAAGTGTGGGTGGAGCAGAGGATTCTGGGAGTCCGATACACCTCCCCTCTGCCTCAAAAACAACCAACCAGACGCAGCCGTCCCTGGAGACAGGAAACCCCTCCTCCCGGGGGGGGTCCCAAGGAACCTCAGAATTTGGCTCTGACGCACACACCCAGTGGGGCGGATTTCTCCCAGGTCAGCTCAGAGCTGACCCCGCGGCTGGCCAACGCAACAGCTGCCTCTCTCTGCCCGGGAGCCAGCCCAGAAAGACAAGATCCGGGAGGGACCCCAGTGTCTTACAGAGCAAGAAGGATCCACCATCCGCATCGCCTTCCCCTAGGTCCCATGGGGAGCACCAACAAGATCTCGCCGCACCCTAACGGATCAGGCCGCAAACCGTCTCCTCCAGCAGCCAAGAACGCAGAGACCCCAAGGATTCTGGCGGCTTCAAAAAGTTTCCCTGCCAACCCAGGCCAGCTAGAAATAGCTTTGCTCGGAGAGCAGGGAGGACGTGGAAGCCGACAGCAGAAACGGGCAAGAGGTCAGCTGGGACGGGTAACCCGACGCGCGGAGGAGCAGTTTTGAAAACGGTAAGTAAAAGGCCAAGAGAGGGGAAAGGGCGAAGGGAGGAGAGCAGGCCGAATTCTGGAAGAAAGCAAAGGAGGGGAAAAAAAAACCAGAGTCAGCTTTGATTATTGCCTGGAACTGGAGAAGGAGCCAATTAAAGCGATCAGACCCCTCCGCCCTCCGTTCAAAGGGGTTGTCTAGTCTGCTTCCTAAATCTGATTCCCATTTGTCTTTATATGGTTCTCATTTGTTCCTCCTTCAAGCTCCCCTCCGTTCTTGGTAGGAGAATGGTGGGAAAAGCCCCATTGGGTTAATGCAACTGCAGGATAGTTGCATGAGGGGGGTTTGGTGGGTGCCAAACTAATCGTTCTTGGTAGGAGAATGGTGGGAAAAGCCCTTTGAGATGGGTGACATGACACCTTTTACTTCTGGTCATGTGTCCATCTTGCCCAGAGTGTGTTACCTCCAGAAGTGTGGCCAATGGGGGTGGAGGGCGTGGCTAATGGGGCACCACCAAAAATTATACAAACCTGCCACCCATGCATCTATGTATGCAGCTGAAACTGCAACACACAGTACAACCACGTATACAGCTGGAACCCACAGACAGATGTACGGGGCTGGAACTGATGTGTACATGTGTGTGCCGCTGGACCCTACATATCCAGCGCCTACACAGGAGTATGGAGGAGTGAATGTACACACAGGCCGTTTCTTTCTGCAGATGACATGCACAACACACTAACCTCAGCAGGCTGTCCTCTGTTGCCACATGCCTACACTACCGATGTACACAGCTGGAAAGCACTCACACAGCCCAGACGCGTCCGTAGGACTGTGCAGCTGGGAAGTGTGTGCGTACACCTACAACGTGTGCCCACAGCTAGGCGCCTGCTTGCACAGCGGGGGGAGGGGTTGCACAGCCCCCCCCAGCCCGTGTGCCTAGTTGGAATTTGTATACACGCACCCTCCACGTGCCAGTCTGGCAGATACACACGCAGCCCTCGCGCGCGCACATGGAGAGCCAGGCGCGGCCCCAGCTCTCCCGCGTGCCGTTTTCCAAGGCGGCGAGCCAGGAACGCAGGAGAAGGCGGGGAGAGGGAACGAGAGCGCCCCGTGGGCCAGACGGACACAGCGGGCACCCAATGCGCACAGACACTGCTCCCAGAAGGGAGGGGGGTGGGCAGAGGCTGGGCCCAATGAGCTCCTTCGGGGATCCCACTGCAGAGAGCGGCCGAGGAGCGGAGGTGACACGTAAGTTAAGGGCTGGAAGGTGGCCAGGGCAGGCAGGGAAGTTTCCTTTGTTTCCCGTTCAGGTGGCAGCAGAGTGGAGCGGGTAGGAGGGGAGGGCACAGACACTGCTCCCAGAAGGGAGGGGGGTGGGCAGAGGCTGGGCCCAATGAGCTCCTTCGGGGATCCCACTGCAGAGAGCGGCCGAGGAGCGGAGGTGACACGTAAGTTAAGGGCTGGAAGGTGGCCAGGGCAGGCAGGGAAGTTTCCTTTGTTTCCCGTTCAGGTGGCAGCAGAGTGGAGCGGGTAGGAGGGGAGGGAACCTATGCACCGAGACCCCCCCCCTTTAAAGCGCGCATGCGGGAAGGGAGCTGATGCGCTG